TCCTCAGTCCCATGCTCCACTACTTTCACACCAAGGATCACTCTGTCACTCCTCACTCCCACGCTCCACCACTTTCACACCAAGGATCACTCTGTCGCTCCTCACTCTCGGATCACTCTGTCACTCCTCAGTCCCATGCTCCACTACTTTCACACCAAGGATCACTCTGTCACTCCTCACTCCCACGCTCCACCACTTTCACACCAAGGATCACTCAATCACTCCTCACTCCCACGCTGCACTACTTTCACACAAAGGATCACTCTGCCACTCCTCACTCCCACGCTCCACCACTTTCACACCAAGGATCACTCTGTCGCTTCTCACTCTCAGATCACTCTGTGGCTCCTCACTCCCTTGCTCCACCACTTTCATGTGCCAGCATGATAACTCACAAGCAAATGATTTATTTAGTCTCTAAAGACTGTTGATTGTAAATTAAAAAATTGATTTATCTGGAATCATAGTAAACATGTAATAAAAAAATATTCAAATATATTTCATTACTTATTATTAACACTGTCGCCAGAAATAACTATTTAGCTTAGTTGATTCTTTTAACAAGTATTTGCAGTATATTTATTATTTCAAGAGCGTAAGCATACTAGCGTGCCTGGAATTTCACTAAATTATTTTCATTAAACTGATATGCATGGCATTTTATCAGAACACCAACTTATTATATAAAAGCATATGAAAGTTAAAGACTTTTCTAGATGGTTCCCCAGCAGCTCACCTGGGAATGAAAGGCAGCGCTGGGCTTTGAGGCCTGCTACCAGTACAGTCAGGCCCAGGTCAGGCATTCGCCTGCTGCCTAATGGGCCCACAAGCTGGCAAGGGGAAGTCAAATGGCGGCCTTTATGCACGGTGACATTCCCAGCACAGAGCAGAACATAGCGCTGGGATCCTGCCCTGCAGCTGTGTGGGTTATGTTGAGGGAAAGGCCCATTCCCACCTTTATTTACTTTTGTTTTCTAAACCCACAGATATTAAGGTGTGAGGTTTTGCTCAGAAGCAAGACCAGGCTGAGGAGCATCTACCACATACTGTCCTACTGGAAACTCCAGGTAGTGAATCTGCTCACTGTGACCTGTGATCTTGACTATGCGTTTCCTGGTTCTGGTGTCCCTGTAACTGTCCTTGGAACTGCAGAGGGCCCTCCTGCCAGCCTACGTATTCTAGCATTTGTAGCTCTGCTGAACTCTGAGCCCTGTGGACAACACCCTTACCACCACCCGGCAAGCAGTAAGTCTGGTCCTGCTTCTCAAATATTTGTAAGTTCAGCCACCTCCTCTATTTGATTAACATGGCCTGAATGCTTCATTTGATATCAGCCTTCATATGTTTGACCTACTGTAGCAGCAGATTTTTTGGCTAATAGGGATCTCTCAAATATTTACAAGGAAGCTTTCTTAGAATGTTTTAACCAAGACAGAAATATAAATTGTCATTAAATTGCAATGCAGTGAAACAATGTACAGCCTGGGTTTCTTTATCCTTTATCATACAAAGATACAAATGAAACAATATAATGTTTCATTTCAGAAATCATTCATTATGGATATAGTCAGAATATATTTTAATACATATTTCAGTGAAGGTATAATGTCTAAGGTTAAAATTTATGACACGTATTTGCCACAATATTCACACTGGAATATTTACTTTCTTCAAACAATTTTTTTCATAATTAAAATAGTGAATCTTAATAACTGTACATATTTGTTACTTGTTATCTGTTTCTTTAATAATCACAGTAATTTCCTGGAAAGTTAATCCAATCAGAGCCACTATTCATATATGATAAATAGTTCACCTCAACACACAAAATCCAGTCAATAATACCAAGATCAAAAGAACAATGCTGACCTTTTTTGCATATGTTGCTCCCATAGCTTCTGGTGATCAGCCTCTTACTTTGTGGGCTGTTCTGCAGGTACCAGGGACCACAGGTTTCCTTCCTGCTCCAGTGGTTTTCAGGCAGGGGCTTTGCCATCCACCCTGTGGCACCAGAACCACAGGATTTCACTCCACCAGCACTAGACTGATGAGGAAACTGAGGAAATGTTTAGGAAGGCAGCAAAAGTGCTGGTAGGAGTAGAGAAAATCCATGTTGACGAGATGGACTCTGCAGCAAGTCAGGGGACCGTACGTCCAGTGCAGTCTGAGTGCCAGAGGGAGAGATTACCTATCCAAATAGTCCTGCAGGACAAAAACCTCCTCAGGACAGAAGGAGCCACCTGTTCATAGCCGACTGCACACTCTTAAAGGATTAAAGACTCCAGGGAAGATTAGAGTAATTGCAGCTGACAGATGAGGAAGCGCGAGAGAGCGCATGGCCCGGGAGCAGAGGCTGCCTCTAGCTATCCTCAAAAATTGACATTTTTTGAGCGGCGTGCAGGGTGTGTTGTTGCCCTGTAACCTCCCCTAAATGTCCCTGTCCTTGTCTGGGAGTTTGGCAGTGAGAGGCAGCCCCTACTGGCTGGGCAGGAGGCCCGAGGCCGTGACTCAGGAATGCCAGAGGTCCATCGACAGTGGGCAGCCCACAGAGTAACTGCATGCAGTGCCATTGTTCCCTTTACTCATTATGCTTTTACTATTCGTGCAAGAATGCTGTCAAAAGTAAATGATGCTTTGAATTAACATGTATGTTTAATAAACTATTGGGAAGATACTGGTCTCAAAACGAGGACGGTGGGGCTGAAAGAGAACTGATTTTCCTGGCAGAGCGACTGATAAACAGTCTGGCCCATCCCAGCAAGACTGGATCTCCCACAGGGACTGACTTCTCAATAGACTGGAATCATAGCACTGAAACCAACATCTACTCATTACACATTCAGTGCCTATTGCCCACTTGAAAAACTGTATTTTTCACTCTGTTTTTCTGTCCAGCGTGTCATGTTTCAATGTAATGCATATTTATATTGCATTTATTGCTGCTTTTTAACACCTTGACTAATAAGACAAAAATTGAATATAGCGTATGACTCATAAGAAAATAAGAACATAAGAAAGTTACAAACGAGAGGAGGCCATTCGGCTTATTGAGCATGGAGGGAATTAAACGAATAATCTAAAGCAGTTTCAATGTACATTTAGAAGACAGAATATCCTTTTGCATGCATGTCACATATAGCTGTCAAGAGTGTTTGCTGGCAACAGGGGCACAATAGGGGCACAATAGAGGCATGGATATGTGGACAGCAGGGGCTCAGTAGGGGCATGGATACGCTGTCAGTGG